ATCTCCCCCTGCCATGTGGCGATATCCGGCACCCACGTACCGTCGGCTAGCGGGGCTTTCCCGAACAGTTATCTCCCACCGGAGAGGCACCGCCCCAGCCAGGACAAGCTCTAAGCTCTCAACCGGTCTTCCGGCAAGTGTGATAGTATAGTGCATGTCAGTGTGTGTGTGTGTAAGTAATGGGTGAGAATTGGACAAGGAAGAGGAATGGTAGACCGCGCACTGTTCGTGCCCGTTTGTTAGAGAACTGCTTCAGCATTTCCAGTTGTTGATGGGAGAAACCGCAGAAAACTACCGACTGGAAATGTCGGTCGCTAGAATTCTCCTCCAGACAGCGACTAAATTCGACGTAGCTGACATGCTAGTGTCGAAAATTAACGGAACTTGAAACTAGAAACTCCCGGTTAGACACACTGCAGTGACGTCAGTTGATGCCCAGCCCTCTCCCGGTCAAGAGAAAGGGGAAAAGATAGAGGAGAGAAAGAGAGAAGAGAGCAAAGGAAGAGGGAAAGAGAGAAGGAAAATAGAAAGAGAGAAAAGAGAGAACAGGTAAAAAGAGTAAGGTAAAAGAGAGAAAAAGAAAAAGAGAGGGAAGGGTAAAATAGTAAGAGAAGTGTGGGAGAGAAAAAAGACAGAAGAGTACAGAAAGGGAAAAAGAAAGGGAGGAAAAAAGAGAGAGACGGCAAAATAGAGGACGAAAAAGAGAGGGAGTGGAAAATTTAAAGAGGGAAAGAGGAGATCAAAAATGAGAAAGAGGTGAAGTTAGAGAGAGAAAGGAAGACGGAAAAAGAAAAATTAAATTTTTTTTAGGCGTCTCCCAACAACTAAATATTGAAGTTTCTTGAAGGTCATATGCATTCTTTGAAAACTTGAGTAGGTTTGTGCAATGTAGAGTAAGACATATGCTATATAAAAAAATTTCAAACATTATTTTACAGAAATGGTTCTAATTTTTTCTCTATAAAGTTGATAAGGATAGTACTATAGAGGCGAAATTGTACTTAACAGTCAAAATTGGCCAAATGGCATTAAGAGGACCTAATGCCATTTTAATGCATTGCTTTTCAAAAATTTCATAGAGGTAAATTGTTGAAAATCCCTCACGTCGTAAATATTTACATTAATTCGCCTTCCGGATCACCTTAAATGGTTTAGATCGTATTAGTGTTGGAAATTTTAATCATAAGCAGAGTCAAAAGGTTTTTCTGCGCTGGTTAGGAAACCCAGGAGCAACATCTGCTTAGCTACCTGCTACGATGAAATTTCCGAGAATTTTTGTCTGAGTGTGTCTATTATTCGACGTGAAGAGGCATCTTTTACATGTGCGATCACATGAAAAGTACCAGAAGTTGGAAGTCCTTGCAAACTATTTTGTTATCAGAATGTTACAGCTTCAATGCCATATTTTTCACCTTACTCTTTTAAGCTGCATACGTTTCTTAAACTGGAGTATAATGGGCAAATTTGTTCGTCGTCTTGTGAGGAAGTTCTTCAAAACACAGATTGCCATAGTTCTTGGAACTCTTTGTTTTCGTTTCCTTATAGAGTTTGTTTACGCTACTCGTACACTACGCCTCGATTTGTAACTTTTCTCTCTGCAGTAATAACACTCAGAACATTACTAAGTGTGTTAATTGCTATTACCATGTTTTTTGGTATTTCAAGCAATAATGTACGAAATTTATTTTTGAAATGGTGATCAATGACTAGTGAAATGATCCGTGGCCAAACTCGAATGAGGTATTAGGATTTTTAAGAACAGAAAAACCTTTCATTCTTTATCTTTCTGGAGGGAAATAAAAAAACCTAAATCATACATTTACGGCACATAAAAAAAATTATAATTTTAAAGAGGTCTATGAGCATTATTTTAATCCTCCTCGCAGTAATACGAGTGTGCGTAGCTTAGTTTGAGGTCAGATAACATTATAGTAAGTTTCCTGATAGCAGTATCTAGTTCTACAGTACGAATATTAGAAAAAAGAATAGTTAATGGTTATCATTACATCGCCTCGAAATACCCGTGCGATGTTATCATTTAATATAATGGAAATGTTATTAAAGAAAAATATATTTAAATACATCTTCAACATTTTCGACTAACAAAATTTTAATTTCATGGTCAATTGAATTTTGAACAAATTTTTGCAAAATGAAAATAGCTCAAGAGTGATGAGAAACGTCTTAATAGACGATCGAAATGGGGGTGTTTGCTAAAACCGCATGTAACAAAGTATGCAATACCAATAACGCCTATACCTTTGTCATCGTACTACCTGAGAACCTCTATTTGGTATCACAGTGTAGAGAAAAGAAGCCGCGCTTGATCACATGACTTCGAACTTAGCATCGCGTTCGGAGAAGAATTGTTAGGTGCTCGCGCTGTGTAACCATAGAAACCGCAGTGCCATTCATCCTCCGAAAGCCGCACAGGTCGCTTCGCGTAACCGACTGCGGTTACCTACCGCATTCAGAACTCCCGAAATTGAAGTCCCGATCTGAAGGGACAATAGCAAACATTTTAGTTTCTTTGAGAAAATGGGTCAACTTAAAGTGGAGTCAATTTACCCCCAAAGTTGTGGCTTTTTGCCCTCTAATTGAGGCATCGTTCAGATGATAAATTACAACTAACACACAAAACTGCTTTCGAGTTACAGGTAATGTCTTAGACAATATAGCATCTTGACAGTACATATTTAGCTAAGATAAATTGTTTATATTAATTACTATAGAACAGTATTGTATAGTATAGTATAAGAGGGTATAGCGTTTCCAAATGAACGATAATTGCAATAATTTGAAAGAAAGAAAATGTTTTGGCATCTATTCAATTTTATCAATAATATATTTCAAAACATCAAGAACATTTTTTTAAATATTATCAATAAATAAATGTAAATGAGTATCATTAAAAGAGTCAACTAGATTCTCAAAACTCATTTATGTTTTTCCTCGTATTACTTTTTTTGGACACTAATTCGAAAGGACACTTTAATTAAAGAAACTAACACAGCGATGTTTTCCGTTCTTGCGTACTAATACCGACGTACGGTAAATTATATGTAGGCTTCGTCAAAACATAAAAGAATGAGGAAGTAAACATTATTAGTGTTGGGTCATTAGCAACTTTTTTTCATTATGAAATATATATTTTCTAAGTTTCCTAGTTCATTCACTGGAATTCGTGAAATTTCCAGCAAACATTCATTTCCTTGTGACTTTTCCTTATTTCTAAGCACGTGTTTAAGGTCACTCAATGACCCTTTCGTCATCACAGCATCATGCAATGTTCCGCAAGAACTGCGTGTAGGCGAAACTTTTGTATGTCGAAATATTCCCCGTATCACTGTAGAAATAATACTATATAGTATATGAAATACAAGAGAACGTATTGAAATCGAGCAAAACTCCTAGATTATCCCAAACAAATAGATTTAGTAGCTACAGTCACTTGTGGCGATTTTTGACCATGTAGGGTGTCTACGCAGCATGCACCACTTCAATAAAAATGTGTTAAATTAACTGTTGGCGTTTGTACTATCAGTTGCTTCAACCATTATTCGATTCTGATTTACAGACAGAGTCGACTAATGGTTAAAGCAACTGAAATTACAAAGACCAATATTTAATTTAACAAACATTTATTAAAGTGGTGCATGATGCTAATTCGCCTTCCATGATTTAAATCACTCCAACTGACTACGCGATTCCATTTTTTTTAAAAAAATACTAGAATATTAGTTCCTTTTGAAGTAAGTCTGTGAATTGCACAAGCTTATAAATCGTAAGATTTTTACTCAAAATATGAGAACTCATATACTTTTCCTTGAGGTTGTGAGAATTTGTTTTTTGAACATCATACATAGAGATGGAGGTTCAATTATATATGACTGCTTCCAGTGCTTGGTAACTATATTTCCGAAGGTATTTTGTGAGAAACGTAAAGTAGGGATCTTTGTAAGCTCTCAGATTAGATATTTAATGAAAGACAATTGTTTGAAAGTACAGTGAATTAAGTGGGAAAAGGGCTTGGGTTTTGTATAAACAATTGAGGCTACGATTTTCGGCAGCAACAAAGTTCCTAACTACAAAACCATTGTTAAAACACAGTTACATAATTTAATTGAATTAGGATGAGAAACTTTAGTTCTACATCGTCATATTAACTTTTACCTGCGAACCTCGGCAACGATAGTGAAGATCTAGGAAAACGTCTCCATCAGAATCTCAACGATATGGAGAAAAGATATCAGCTGAGGTGGAATACAATCATGATGGCTTATTACTGCTTTATGTCAAAGAGGTGTGGCTCTAGTAAGGGGTCAGTACCAAGAAAGAGGTCTGAAGAAATTGAAGAAAATTAAAAGAAAAAGAGAAATTAAATTATCTATACTTATTACTTTTGATTTCGTAATATTTACACATTTTTCATAATAATTAGCATTAGTAAAGTAAATAAATACTATTGTCCACTCTAATGGAATATATTTTAATTCTACGCAACACGGAATTTATTTTTTAAAGAAAAAAGTATTTTTCCTGGTTAAAAACAATGCGATTTTATTAACATTTCAAAGGCATGAACAAAACCTTTACTTGGTACAGAAAAACTAAAATCAGAATGAAAAATAGTTTTAGAATCACCTTTCTGTTACGAAACATCTTTCCAAAACTTCCAAAACCAAAATGCAGCATAGTCTTATAGTAAGTTCCCATTGACTTTACATTTCTCATTTTAATCACATTCTTTAATTATTACTATATTTCAATATCAATTGCTTTCAGCATTCTCAATTTTCTGAACTTAAAATGACAGGAAAACCCGACAAGCTGTTGGGATAGATAGATTGAAAGGTTGGTGACTCCCTGTGCGACAACTAATAATCATCTGCGTGACCACCATCGATAAATCTTGTTCCCAATAAGAATTTAGCAGCCTACAATCTCTCATATAGTTACATCTGTATTTCACTATATCCAGAATCCGTTATTGCACATACTCTTTCGCAAATATCCCCGACCGTTGATTAGCTGCGTCCTCTCCTGCTTGTCGGCAGTGGAGGCGATCCCGGCGGCCGTGTGCGGGCCGCGCCTCTTCTGCTCGGAGGAGCTGCGCTGCGCGCCCATGGCGACGCCCTGCGTGCAGCAGCAGACGCAGTTCGACGCGGCGGAGGCGGCGGGCGCGGTGGGCGTGGCGGAGGCGCGGCCGCGCTGCACGGACGACGGCCGCTTCGGCCCCGTGCGCTGCGCGCGCGACGGACTGTGAGTAGCCCCTCGGCCGCCGGCCCCTCGGACCCCTCGACCTCCGCGACGCGCGGCTTTCGAGCGGTGCCTGCGATTGCGCCTTTCTAACGATTTCTTCTCCAAAAATGAACACCCATTGCGACCTAGGCCACACCTACCCCAACTAGAATTAAAAACAGATACCCATTAGATTCATTCCTCAGCATATTTTCAGAACTCAATTAATCACATAGGTGCTCTGTGAGTTTCCTATTCAAGTGTAATTAGATTTAGTTGTAAGATTAGCATTTTAAGTTAAAATAAGTTGTAAAATACATATGATGTAGTATAAATAATACTGAACTATGTACATTCGTTCACTAACATCATATAATATATATATATATATATATATATATATATATATATATATATATATTTTAATATATATATTAAAACAAAGTGCTTGAGATTCGCCGCACGCCGAACATTCGTTACTCGCCCTTCCACCGCGTGTCGGTCTTTAGGACCATCAAAGGGAGCATCATTCGCCGAACGCAACTGCTGTTCGGGCTGGGCAAGCAGAAGCTCGCTGCTCGGCGAATGCCAAGTATGTGGAGCCGCCGTAAGATCACAGAGTTTGAATAGCAAAGGGAGCGGATTTATGACACTAAACTTCGATTTAAACATAGTGGTTATTCATGGTCACGAGCAAGAAGGGTTGGAGGACAGTGTCACCCAATGGGGGACACCAATACCAAAACTTTAAGTAGTAACGAAGCTACCGATTGGATGACAGTATCCTCCTCTCCGTTCAGCTAGTGACCTTCAAGTCCCTTTATGTTTAAATTGGAATATAGCTATATAGCTCGGTTGAATTCAGTCCCTGTATGAATGTGTCTTTAAGCGTCCAACTGCTCTGATCGGTAATTTTTAGTGGTTTTAGGGGTATGCCGAAGCAGTACCCTGACAAAAGAACTAGAGAAATTGTAATGCAGTTGAAGATTGCAGAAGACTGGAAGTTTGAAGTTTTTGTCATCTTCCTGCATTGTAGCAAGTTACGGTAACAAATTTCAGAGGTTATATCTAACCACTTGAAAATGATGATCTATCGAGGCAAAAGGGGTCGGTTCACGATGGGGCACCATAGGCCATTATACAACAATGCTTTTTCACATATTTACCAGATATGGTTCGAACAGTCAAGAAAAAAATTACCGAATGGTTATACGAGGAAACAAATACGAAGATCGAAGTTAATTTGGTTCCAGAAAGTAGAAACATAAGAAGTGCAGCTGATGAATGTGGTGTCAAGAGGGAAACATTACGGCGTAAGTTAAAATTTATGAAATCACTTCAAGTTCAGAAGTTTAACTCAAATTAAACTACAGTAATAAGAAAGTTTTTACTTATGGCCAAGAATAAGTGTGTGCTAATTATTTAAAGATATGCTGCAAAATGTTTTACGACATTTCATATCAATGCAGCAAACTTGTATTTGAAACTGTTATTGCAAGTAATGCAAACTGTTTAGATTCACAGTTATAGAACGCAATTGGTTAGAAAGCAAGAAGACTGGTTATGAAGGTTTTCAAAATAATTTCAGATTTATCGCAAAGACCTCTAGAGGGGTGTAAGATTGCCCAAAGCTACGGCATTGAAACGATGGAGCGTGCAAGCGTTTTTCAACTATTATCAATCGTTGTTTTATGGAGAACCTAAAAGGTTACACTTCACGCGACTTCAATTTCAATAAAACAAAAAATATAAAAAGTTGAACACAGCGGCAAGATAATTGCTGAGAAAGGTTATAAACCTGTGTGTCAAGTAAAACGTGCTGTATATGAAACTCTTCTAACAAAACATTGTATTGTCTGCTCGATACTGATATTTTTCTCGATTTCATTTTTGTGAGCATATGTTGTTTGGTGCTTCGTCAAACTCCGTAATGCAGGCCAGTCCAACAGATTGGATAATGAGTAAACTTCTCGTTAAACATTTGATCAAATATTCTAGTATCAGTAGGGAAGACTCATCCCTTTTCATTCATGACTATCATACAAGTCATATTATAATAGAAGACTTTCAGTTAGAAGCAAGTGATGTCCATATTTTGGCAATTATTCGTCTTTAGTCACACTGGATGCAGCCCCTTAAGGTTGACCGGTATGCTTCATTTCAGAAATTTTATAATCCAGCCATTGATTTGTGGTGGTTAAGTTATTCAGGAAGAACTAAGACAAGTTATGAAATACGAGCTGGCTCTGTAGGCACTGCCTTATTCCGTGCAAGAGGGACCCCAACCCCCAATCATTAGGATGGTACACCTGGGCAAGGATGTTTGGTGATTTCCTTTGCAGTTGTGCTATTTCAAGTCGGAGTTATCGCATGTTTAGGGTCTCGTGGGGGCCAGTGCAGCGTCCACAAGTCCACGGTCTAGTGCTGTGGTTCTTAGTGTGTCCAAAAGTCGGGCATCTACTGCATTTGATGGCTTTGTTGTTGTTGATGTGGTCTTGTATTTTGACGCGAAAGTAGGCGATGTATTGGATTTGTTGTTTCATATGCACGTGCAGCCAGTCTCACAAATGTAACGTCCTCGTGTGAAATAGTCTTGTCGACAATTAATTCTCTGTATTTCGCTTCCGTGACTGACGTCGGTTAATGCTTCCGAGGCTGCAGAGCGTGACTTCATATCAGTAAATATTTGATCTCCTTCGCGCTCATGGTCTCAGTTAGATGTTGCAAGAGGAAGATCTAGGAAGCCTTCCTGATGTGCTTTTGAATGTGTGTCTTTTACCTGCCGTCTTCCATTGTCTAGGGCTCTCTGAGATATCTATCAGCGTATCCGCTTAATTGGCAGGTTACTCTGTCTTGGATGATCTGCACCTCCTCGGTGGGACTAGTGATGTCTGGGCCAGAAGCCAAGAGGATCTGCTCGCAGGTGTTGAGATGACTGCTTGCAGCTGCAGTATCACCAAGAAGGCGCTGGATGTCGAAAAGACAATATTCAGGCAGATGGGCAGGAGGCCAGCTACCACTGCACGGTGGATGGTCCGTCGCCTCAGGCGGGTTTTCCATCTTGTAGTCCTGCAAAGCTAGGCGTTAGATAATTCCGTTGTCCAGTGAGAGAGAGAGAGGCAGAGAGAGCTAGAGTGAGAACGAGAGCGGGAGAGAGAACGAGGGCGAGAGAGAGAACGAGAGCGAGAGAGAGAACGAGAGCGAGAGTGAAAGATTTAGTTGTAACGGAAGGTTCACGTGTCGCTTAGCAGAATTCGTTGTGGTTTGTTTACACCTCACTTGGAGTTTTGACCACTCACGAGAGAGTGCTCCCGAGTAAGTTCTGTCCCGATAGCAGGGCGGTCAATACTAATTTAACAACCAACAATAATGGACGTGTTAACCCCACTACTAGAATACTTTCGTTGCACAGTTTTCAGTCATGTTTCCGGCGTATTTATACTCTCGATTCTCTTACCTTCATTTTTACAGGAGATTTGGCATGAGCTTCCTTGAAACTACTAATCAAAAGAGGCTATGTTAATGCAGGCAATGTTCACTATAGCAGACCATGTTCCAAGGCAGCTTCATTGTCCGTCATATATTAAGGGCTACCCGAAGTCGGAAAAGCGAGCGTGCACCCAAAGACAGCAGGGAAGCAGTCGAATTTTAACGGAATTCCAGAAGAAGAAGTTTTATTAGAGGAAAGGAGGAGACAATAAATAATAGTCGTAAGAGAAAATCATCAGTGTACAGATATAGTTTTTAAACTGATAGTGGCTTGTAAATGATAAAAGCGAAGTGATAGTTATTCTAGAATTGTTTTGATCCATTGTATCGTAGACTCATGCTGCCCCAGATATGTGGTACGAGGTTCATTAATTAAAAACTGTTTTCTTTTTAATTTCCCCCCACCATTAATGATATCGTGGCTATAACCACACAATTGTTTGTACATCCATGTGTCTTTACTTGTACAAATAAAATGAAATAAATAATCTTCAATTTAAAGAATTCCTGACTGTTCCAATTTTTTGGGGCTTGTTGCGCCCTAGTGCCTCCTAGATAGTAGCTAGAGAGTCACTCCTGATAGAACAGTGTATTGGGATCCCCGACTGGCAGTCCCCCCATTATATCATATTACAGCTATCATATTGTCGAAATAAATTTCTGTTTCAACAGAGATTTAATAAAAATTGTGGGTTAATAAACAAAACATCAGATCTCAAAGAGGGATCCTTCCTGTGCTTTTCATTATTATATGATTTAGTTAAAACAATCAATAGTTATATCCAAACTAAGAATTCACCTATTTCAAAAATCAGGAGAAGAGGAAATGAGGACTGAACGATGTAAATATCCAAAACCCATACACTTGAAAATGTGCTTGTTGAACTGTATACCGAAAATAGACCAGTTTATATCAGACCCGAAAAAGTCCTTCATCGATGCAGCGTGTTTTTCCTCAGCGCAGCCAATTGCAAGATTCTCGAATTGTTGAATTTTCAACAGATTCCGTGGTCCAAATTCTGACATCAGACGGAATACTATCTCAATCGTACCGCCTATGATATTTTTTCTACATGTGTGTTAAAGTTGTGCCTGTTAGCAGTTGGGAATGGAGGAACAGGGGCAAGCATGGATGAAATAGGAAGCCATGATCACATGTAGTTCGGAGACCTTTTACTGTTCTGATATCCGCATCCAGTTGATCAAAAGAATCAATAAAATTGTCTCTTGCAACTCTCAAAGCAGTTTAGCTGTACAACTTCGAGTGGCATTGAATATCCGCCGCAATCCGGATAAGTAACTAGCGTCCTGTTCAACACTGCTTCAATTGCGGACTTTAAAGCACATGCAATAACGGCAGCCTTTTTCACTTCCTTGTGGGCCCATGTCCTGTTTCCAATCAGATCATTCCTTACACATCTTCTTTGGTCTTTCCAGGCTTCCGGGAAGTAGCCTCTACTATCCGTATTTCATTCATCCTGGTAATGTGCAAAGTCTCCGCGTGCTTCCTTCTCTTTCACCATTTTCGATCCTGCCCTTCACCTTTAAGTTCTTGTAATTCCATTTTCCTTTCATTTAACTAGCTCACCTTAGAATTATTTCCTTTGAACTTTTTTCTTTGGGCTTTATCTGATTAAGCCTTAGCTTAAACAAAAATTATCTTTCCGTACTCAGGCTGTAAACGGACATGAACTTCCGTCATCTTCAGGTGTGGAAACTAGGTGAAAAAATGTCACAGGAACAGGCATTTGTGAGACAAAAATTAACTTATTGTACTTCATCCCTTTGTTAAAACCAGTTTTACAGTGCCTGAAATAAATGTTGCAATGTAGCAATAATAAATAGAATTCACCCAATACTTTGAGTGAACTACATAGTTTACTAGTTTCTTTCCAAGTATTTTTTTAGTGTCAGCAAGGAAAGCTTGGTCGGTGAATAAAGCTTACGCTTAAATTACGCTTATTAAAGTACGCTTAAACGATTTTGTAGCTCTATTACGATGACTTAGTACTCTTGAAGTGTGAGAAGTAATGACTGGATTGATAAAGAGGAATTCGAAATTGGTGTGCTGATCGCATCATATAAATTCGTGAATATGATGTATGTTAGATTAAGAGGTAGATAGATAGTGCCTCAACAAAGAAAATGATTCAGGTCAATGAACGGAGACTTTACAGTTTAGAGTTCTCTTGTGATACATATTTTCTGGTTACCTCGTAAGAGGCACAGAGAGCCTTGCTTCTCTCATACTTATCGATGGCTAGTTTATAGCGGAATGCTAAATGGCCAGTTATGTCCCTTATTAAATTTTCGATAATTTATAATTTCAGAACTCAACGTTTTAGAAGTAGATGGTTTGTATAGCTAGGCTTTACAATAATATTATTGAGCACCTAAATTTCGGTCAAAACTCATTGTGTGAAACACGATGTTTTGCGTGTCCATAACTTCAATCGTGTGATATTTACACAATCAGTGTTGCTTAACACCTTTTGAAACATACACGCTTTGAATATTGCGTTTCTAGAGCAAGTAGACGATTCTTAATATATTGTAAAACGTTTATATTGGTGCCGCCTGCTCCAGTCTGCCCTTATTCGAAGTCAAGATCATTTCAACTAGGAATAACAACGCAATTTTCGCAGAATCGAGCCTAGCCCGTTAATAAATGCTCACGTTCTGAACGGCAGCGCCTCATCTTCGTGGCTTCTTTCATTTTGTCCAGGTAAAACGCGAACTGCACGAGAGAGAGAGAGAAAGTAGTTATGATCTCCATTGAAATTTAGATATTTTATTATACCAAATCTAATAATTCTTTAAACGAAAAGATAAATAAACTGTTTTATATATTTTTCAACTCCGTTTCATATTTACTTTAATGTTACAGTCTTTAAAGCTAAATGTTACTTAAATTGTACTTCTTAACCAATTGTTTACATTTAAATATATTTTTAAATATAAAAATAACCTCCAATTTGTTTAGCTTGTTTTGGCAGTTAGAGCTGTTCCTGAAGACTAAACCGTAAAGCCACGAAATGCGACTGAAAGATTTTTACGTTATGACGAATAAATAGTCTCAAAATATTTTCGTAAACTATAGTGCCCGTGCAACAACTCTTGCATGTTAATCCCCACCTTTCCATTAATAAGTAAAGTTGTTAATAAAACATGTTAATTTGATAAAAAATGTGTAAATCTAACTTTGTTCTTACGCAATATCAAACAAAAATAAAAACAATGCAATGATGGTGGAAACAAATTTTCAATAAAGATTTTTTCAGATATACAGGGATATTTTCTTCCAAAAATACATACTTCCTTAAAAAAATGAAGTTCCTTGAAAGTTAGCTTTTCGCTTTGATAGTCTTAAAGATATTAGAAATGGCTGTTACTCTTCAGAAAACTAAGTAAAGTTTCCCATGCAAAAATACAGAATCGGGCAAGTACAACCCTATTCTTTGCAATATTATTTAACTTTCAGGGATATGTTATGAGGAATAGATTGGGTTTTAGAGGGGTAGGGCGCCAGCTAGCTGGGGTGCGAAAATTGAAAAATTATTTGATAACTAAAATATATTGTATTATTTTCTGCATTCTTACGTACCTCAAGTAAAGCAATTCCCAGCAAAAAATAGTAAAACTAATATTTGTGCCTTTGAATAGTAAATACCATATGTTACCATTAGAAACCATTCTGTACTTTAGACTTCACTTCGGTACATGGAAATGTTGCTGAAACGATGTTTACGTATTGAATATCTTAGTAAATCGACATTTATCCAACCGATATTTATCAAACGGTATATTATTTACAATATAAGTTTACAGTTGGGCAGAGATGTGACTTCCAGATACCGCGAACATTTAAATCGTGCGTCTGGATTGTGATCGTTGGCGGTTGTCGAATGACTTGCGTTATTCTTTCTATAATTTTAAATTTGGTTGATTTTTTAAAATGATTTCATGTAGTTTTGTAGGCTAGGGCGTTTTGATTTTGTTGCTCATTTATTTCAATGTATTTTGCTTTAGTTCATTTAAAACGATTGTGCTTTGTTTTGTGTCACCACAAGTTTTCCCCTACTACTTCAGCGAACCTATGCGAGAACTTTCGCATGTTAATCCCCACACTATTCTTCTATTTCCATTCTAAGAGGGACAGTTGTTTAATAAACATTTGTTTAAAAATATATAAAGATAACTTCCACTGTACAAACACAATATTAACCAAAAACTAAAACAATGCAATTGATGTGGAAAAGAAAAAAATTGCAGCACTATTTGAAAAAATGGCGTTTGAGCGTTTC